GGGGGGGGGGGGGGGGGGTTGCTTGTACTTGGAAACTGCCCTCAAATACAAAGTAAAACGAATAAAACGGTAAATTTCCTTCCAAGAATAGGGCTAGCCCAATCGATTTTGAGACGCAAATTTCCCTCCGTCATATAAGCGCCCTCCAAAAATAAGTCCCTCAAAAAGGGCCTTTGAAAAATATAAACCCCGGGGCTTATTTTCGGAATTTGACGGTAGTCTATTAAAGGTAAAACTAATTAAAAATTCGTATCATTCCTATTATGTAAATAGACGGCAAATTTATGAATGATATAGTACTTAAGATTTAAGGTTGAATCACCTCGTAAACCAGAAAAACCAGAATAAAAGTAATGTTCTGCTCAGTAGCTTTCATTCGAATGGTCACACTTTAGAATTTCATCCAAAGACTGAAAAGTTAGAACCACCTTGTACAGCATAATAATAAACAGTACCACAGAAAAGTACTGGAAAATAGCTTTCCTTTGAATGGTTACAATTCTCAGAAGCTTTCACTTGAACAGCTGAATACTTAATTATTAACACACAAAAACCAAGACCACCCCGTTCCAGCGATAGAACTGCTCGGTACCAGTTGTATGTGACTTTTCCAACCTGCAATCCAACCGATATTTTGAGTTTCAATTATTATGCACTCAAAAATAGAGGCGAGAATGTTTTGAAATTAAAACGCGACGCCTTTAGGTAAGTTTCAAAGTTATTAAATTCAAATGCGTAGACAAACTGCATGACCCTTTTATCGACTCTTTTATCCTAACTCAACCTAGCATGGAAACCCGGCCCAGATGCATGAGTGTAAATAAATTTGCATCCGTGCTCATTAATTCAGTTACTGTTTTGCAGCGACACATCTTAAGAACAGCTTAATTGTAGGTCTTCATCGAAGATCACGAACAACTATATTTGATACTTTGACTGAAAGACCAGAAGTTCAATTCAGCGGATTTGAGTGAGGGTCAGTTAACTAGAGGCGTAATTACTGCAAGACCCAAGGAGAGTACTAACGAGGTAAACAAAGCATTCCGTTATATTTACATTAACTTGAGGGTGAACGATGACACTGCAATGTCTCCGGAAAACATTTTCGTAAATAAACCAGACAAACTTCTTTCATATATGTCTCGAACGGTAACGAACAATCGTTTAACTTTTCTATCGATTCTTTTTCGTAGTGTTTTTTTTTTTCTTTAAATGAAGAAAGGCTTGTTCTTTAACAAATCAGACGTTATTGTTCTTAGTTTAGTTAATGGTATTTTTCACACCATGTCTAGCAGATTATAATAAAACCCAGCTTTACGAACACCCGCTTAATATGGACACTTCTAGTCATTATTTCGGGCAGTTTGCTTTGTCCCGCTAAATACGGTCATACGTTAATACTGACACTTTTTATGGTGGCCACTTCAGGGTCCGTATTGCCGGTTTTGACTGTAGCAGCAAGATTGTTTTGATCACCTGTTTGATTCACTTTGATCAGTTTTAAGCTCTGATAGATGCAACTCGTGCTTATCATCGAGTCGAAATCCATTGGTGGTGATATGAGCTCAGATTGAAAGTCGTGCTCCGAGCCTTTCCGCTCAGTTTCATATGCTTACTACTTTCATAACATCAACAGAAATCTGGATATATTTTGCATATCCTTCTAATATAAAGCTAAGGGAACACAGAGATAATGAATTGATGTATTGTTCCGCAAGCCTTCAAACGTCAAAGACTGTTCTCAAGACTTTTTTCAGGCAAAAAGAGGCTTAAGCAATATTTTAATTAACCACTTTATATTTGCCGACACATTGTTTGCAAACAGCGTTAAACTTGTTTCCCATGCAGTGCATAGTTGCATGAGCAGGCAGTTATGATATATCCATATGTAGCACCAACGTACAAGTCTGTAGTATACGTCCGTCTAGAAAGAAACTACGTTAAGAACGATATTTTCCTTCTACCAACTCACCCACAATGGCGTTTACGAAGTGAATATTTCTTTTGGTTGTGTAGTTACGTGAGAGACGATACAAGGGCTACGAGATCGAATAAGACTGCCGCAGCGGCCGCAAGCACAAATTTGAATTTTCGAGCTAGTGATCTCCCTAAACCTTTCATGTTCTATCTCGTGCTTCTAGTTCAGTCTAGCGATACCTATATTGTTCTCGAGTGGTCGAAAAACCCACGGAATCGTATAGGCAAAGTCTTCGCAACCTTTCATAACAAAGAAAGTTAAAGCAGGAAACTTTAGACTGTCTTGATGGCCATTAAGGTGGCTCGCACCACTAATCACCTATTTGACGGTTTTCCTTTAAGAGGACAGATCAAAAACGCAGACTGAAAGCCACAGCAGAGCCTTTGTAGAGTTGGTCTATACAATGAATGCTTGACTTAAGTGTTCTTTCGTCGATAGTAGTTACCATGGCAGAGTATCTTGAGGATTATTTAAGCCTTCCCTTCAGCTTCCAGCGCTGATACCTAGAAAATCAAGGCGGAGATGCTTTTTTGTAGCATAGCTTTAAGCATTGAAAAGAAAAGTGTACATTGATTTTTTAAAAAAAAAAAAATTCTACACAGCGGATTTCTTTCTTTCTTTTTGAAGTTAAAAACCGTCAAAAAAGGTGGAAACTGGTGAAAGCTATCTTGAAAAGTTTAAGACTCCAAAAAAGCTGATGTGACTGTGTCTAGAAAGTCGAGGCACACGACAGAAGCTCAGTTTCTGTAGCATGTCATTACCTGACACAGAATTTTCTCCACTCCGCTCTGGATAGGATGTCAAACATCACAGGATTAACCTCACAATAATGTTATCGACAGGCCAGTAGATCTGGTAAAATACTTAATCGTTGTCCGAAAATACGAGCGTTTGCCTTTTGAATAGGGTCGCGCGTCTCCAGAAACTCTCGATGTTAAGGCTCCATTTCAACACCCTATTAGTTCTAATCGTGGGTAACTGCAAACATACCATACTAATCCTGGATTTGCGACAATCGGCATTCAAAAAAACTCGACTTTTGCCCAAAGTTTATTTTTTCACTGTCAGAGTTCTGACCATTTTCCGTAAAAAGGTGGAAATTAATTAAAAACGGTTTGGCTGGTTTGGATCCCACCTGTGCGGTACCCAATTACACAACCGCGTATAATTTAAAAAGACAAGCTGGCTGGAGCGCATTCTTGTCTATCAGATAAAAAGCAAAGTTAAGTTTTGGCCTCGCCTAAAATAGTCTTTCAAATGGCTCCTGAAGCGGAATGCAATGCTCATTCATTTATTTACTCATTCATGTTTATTTGCCATATCACACATCATAACTGCTAACAATAAAAGGGTATTATAAAGAAAGTTAAAGGAAGCATGCGCAGATGGCGAGGAAACCTGAAAGATACATACCACGGGGCTGATAAATAATCAGGTTTTCTCAGAACTAAAAATACGCGAGTCTAATATGATAATGTAGACCAGCGAAAGTGGTACAAGCTTTTACAAAAATTAAAGTAACTAAAGCTGAAAGCAATATTAAGTTAATACCTACTGAGAAGAATTTTTTTTAAATAAGCTTTTCCTATGAAAAGATGCATAGGAGGAAGATTTAGTTATCTTAGCATTCGGAGAATTGTAAAACTTTGGACCTTGAAAGTAAACGGAAAACCGCCTGGTATTGGTTCTGCATAGCAGTAAACAAAAAGATTGAGCACTCCTTGTGTTTTCACGAGAAGCTATCATTTGTAATATGTGGCAAGGCCACTTTATTGAGTTTTGTTTCATTTTACTTCGCTCACAGATTTCCGAAAACTTTTCTGCTGAAAATGTACCGGAACGCTTACGAGATGAGAGGTGCATCAACCATTGGAATAGTTCCCCAATCTGGCCCGAAAAAGCTCAAAAAATCTCGCCGATGGCTCGTCAACCTATTGATCATCGGTGCTCCCATACTACTATGCGCGATTTTGCTGCTCATCCTTTTTCTAGTCCCAGGCCCTGAACGAAAGACACAGCTGGCTCCAACCCGCTGCATTCTTTCTCTAGAGGCAAATTCATCGAATTTCTCCGCAATGCTACAGAAAATCGAAACAACGTTTTTCCACGTTCTTCATCCAAGGTTTATCTATGCAAGGCCAGGAGTGACTCCTGAAGAAATTCGGTCGGTTTTTCGTCCTTGGGATCCAAGCCCGAGCAAAATCAAGTCGAGAACTGATGAGGCCAACAAGTTGTTTGAAGAATTAAAAGCCCTTAAGATCAACATCACGCTTTTGAAGCTGAGAGAAAGAAAAGCCCTCCATGTGGCCAAGTCCATTCTAAAAGATAATCGGGGATGGGCACCATATGGTGCCAACTATTACGCCGGCGATTGGATGTTGGGACCCAACTTTTATTGCTGGGAAATCATATGTACAGTACTCTATGACTTCAACGCTGTCATTTCTCACTTTAAGCCCAAGAATATCAGCGATCTGCGCAAGTTAGACGACATCATCAAGCAGCATAACGAAACCTTTGAGAGATATATTGCGAATTTAAAGCTTGGCGTGAGGGCTGGGTTTGTCCGATCCAAAGAAGCTTGCGAGGTTGGCATCCACAATATGCATTATACGTTTTACAGAAACATTGCCCTTGGCAACGAAACAGGTGAGAATAATTTTCCGCCTTTTGCATTCTGCTCTTTGCCTTACAATCGTAGAATGGCAAAGGAGCAGCGCTGTACAGCTTTTCAAAAAAAACAGCAAAAAGCGTAATATAGCTCCTTAAAAAAAAAAAAAAGAAAAAAAGAAAGAAAGAAAGAACTAAAGAAAGGAGAGCGGGGGGGGGGGGAGCAAAAGACCTACAGGAATTAGTTATAAAAAAGCACTACCTGGGCGAAGAAAACTTCGGGTCATAAATATAATAATTAACCCATTTTTTTCTCTCGTTTAATGACACTGCAATGTCTCCGGAAAACATTTTCGTAAATAAACCAGACAAACTTCTTTCATATATGTCTCGAACGGTAACGAACAATCGTTTAACTTTTCTATCGATTCTTTTTCGTAGTGTTTTTTTTTTTCTTTAAATGAAGAAAGGCTTGTTCTTTAACAAATCAGACGTTATTGTTCTTAGTTTAGTTAATGGTATTTTTCACACCATGTCTAGCAGATTATAATAAAACCCAGCTTTACGAACACCCGCTTAATATGGACACTTCTAGTCATTATTTCGGGCAGTTTGCTTTGTCCCGCTAAATACGGTCATACGTTAATACTGACACTTTTTATGGTGGCCACTTCAGGGTCCGTATTGCCGGTTTTGACTGTAGCAGCAAGATTGTTTTGATCACCTGTTTGATTCACTTTGATCAGTTTTAAGCTCTGATAGATGCAACTCGTGCTTATCATCGAGTCGAAATCCATTGGTGGTGATATGAGCTCAGATTGAAAGTCGTGCTCCGAGCCTTTCCGCTCAGTTTCATATGCTTACTACTTTCATAACATCAACAGAAATCTGGATATATTTTGCATATCCTTCTAATATAAAGCTAAGGGAACACAGAGATAATGAATTGATGTATTGTTCCGCAAGCCTTCAAACGTCAAAGACTGTTCTCAAGACTTTTTTCAGGCAAAAAGAGGCTTAAGCAATATTTTAATTAACCACTTTATATTTGCCGACACATTGTTTGCAAACAGCGTTAAACTTGTTTCCCATGCAGTGCATAGTTGCATGAGCAGGCAGTTATGATATATCCATATGTAGCACCAACGTACAAGTCTGTAGTATACGTCCGTCTAGAAAGAAACTACGTTAAGAACGATATTTTCCTTCTACCAACTCACCCACAATGGCGTTTACGAAGTGAATATTTCTTTTGGTTGTGTAGTTACGTGAGAGACGATACAAGGGCTACGAGATCGAATAAGACTGCCGCAGCGGCCGCAAGCACAAATTTGAATTTTCGAGCTAGTGATCTCCCTAAACCTTTCATGTTCTATCTCGTGCTTCTAGTTCAGTCTAGCGATACCTATATTGTTCTCGAGTGGTCGAAAAACCCACGGAATCGTATAGGCAAAGTCTTCGCAACCTTTCATAACAAAGAAAGTTAAAGCAGGAAACTTTAGACTGTCTTGATGGCCATTAAGGTGGCTCGCACCACTAATCACCTATTTGACGGTTTTCCTTTAAGAGGACAGATCAAAAACGCAGACTGAAAGCCACAGCAGAGCCTTTGTAGAGTTGGTCTATACAATGAATGCTTGACTTAAGTGTTCTTTCGTCGATAGTAGTTACCATGGCAGAGTATCTTGAGGATTATTTAAGCCTTCCCTTCAGCTTCCAGCGCTGATACCTAGAAAATCAAGGCGGAGATGCTTTTTTGTAGCATAGCTTTAAGCATTGAAAAGAAAAGTGTACATTGATTTTTTAAAAAAAAAAAAATTCTACACAGCGGATTTCTTTCTTTCTTTTTGAAGTTAAAAACCGTCAAAAAAGGTGGAAACTGGTGAAAGCTATCTTGAAAAGTTTAAGACTCCAAAAAAGCTGATGTGACTGTGTCTAGAAAGTCGAGGCACACGACAGAAGCTCAGTTTCTGTAGCATGTCATTACCTGACACAGAATTTTCTCCACTCCGCTCTGGATAGGATGTCAAACATCACAGGATTAACCTCACAATAATGTTATCGACAGGCCAGTAGATCTGGTAAAATACTTAATCGTTGTCCGAAAATACGAGCGTTTGCCTTTTGAATAGGGTCGCGCGTCTCCAGAAACTCTCGATGTTAAGGCTCCATTTCAACACCCTATTAGTTCTAATCGTGGGTAACTGCAAACATACCATACTAATCCTGGATTTGCGACAATCGGCATTCAAAAAAACTCGACTTTTGCCCAAAGTTTATTTTTTCACTGTCAGAGTTCTGACCATTTTCCGTAAAAAGGTGGAAATTAATTAAAAACGGTTTGGCTGGTTTGGATCCCACCTGTGCGGTACCCAATTACACAACCGCGTATAATTTAAAAAGACAAGCTGGCTGGAGCGCATTCTTGTCTATCAGATAAAAAGCAAAGTTAAGTTTTGGCCTCGCCTAAAATAGTCTTTCAAATGGCTCCTGAAGCGGAATGCAATGCTCATTCATTTATTTACTCATTCATGTTTATTTGCCATATCACACATCATAACTGCTAACAATAAAAGGGTATTATAAAGAAAGTTAAAGGAAGCATGCGCAGATGGCGAGGAAACCTGAAAGATACATACCACGGGGCTGATAAATAATCAGGTTTTCTCAGAACTAAAAATACGCGAGTCTAATATGATAATGTAGACCAGCGAAAGTGGTACAAGCTTTTACAAAAATTAAAGTAACTAAAGCTGAAAGCAATATTAAGTTAATACCTACTGAGAAGAATTTTTTTTAAATAAGCTTTTCCTATGAAAAGATGCATAGGAGGAAGATTTAGTTATCTTAGCATTCGGAGAATTGTAAAACTTTGGACCTTGAAAGTAAACGGAAAACCGCCTGGTATTGGT